GAGGGGACAGAACGTTTGTTAAGAGTCAGACAAGCAGGAAGTCTGCAGTGATATTGTGTTTCCTAGAAATGACATGAAAGCTACCAGTCATACCATAAACATATAGCTGCCTCGATGGGACACAAAGAATAAGCACAACAACATACATGATAACATGAAGAGTATAATGAATACAGGCAACTAACAACTACTAAGAAATAAATAAACCTCTCCCAAGGGTGAGACCCCTAACTAGTTATCTGATATCAAGTGATCATCCTTGTAATCATATACATACAACCAATACAAAACAGGTGTTAGTGTGTGTGTGTGTTTGAGAGAGAGACAGAGACAGAGACAGAGACAGAGAGACAGAGAAAATAGTAAAGCAAAAGAAGCCATGAATTTGAGACAAAGTAAAGCAGGTATGGGGGATTTTGGAGGGATTAGAGATAAGAATTTGGAGGGAAGGAAAAAAAGGAGGGTGCTTATACATTATATTTTAATTAAAATAAAATATTAAGAAAATAGTTTTCCTCTAAAAGATTAACATTAGAATTGGTAAATTGTTTAAAGTGAGTCACATTTCTTGGTGCTACACATTCTTCATTTTTGGAGCTAGTAATTATCACTGCAAACTGTGGCTTAGACCAAATTTCTCCTGTGTGGAAGCTAATAGTTTTTTACTCATAGGTTTCTCTCTCTAGTTAAAGATAATCTGTAGTTCTGTCCTCAAAGAATAATCCCCAATAAAGTTACCCCAGATTATTAGTGTGGGCCATGCAAAATAGTCCTCCAGACTCATTAAGGTAGATTCAGTTAGAGCCAATAAAATGGGTTGTTGTTTTAACTTCTGTCAAATGCTGAGATAAGATTTTCCTGGAAACTATATGACATGTATGTTACAAGATTCCCATCTTGATAGTTTGCAAATCTGCTTAGTGTTAAGACCAGTGTCAAATTCATTCTTATGTCTCTGTTTTTAAAGTTGTTTTCACATTTATTTGTCAGTCTGTGTGTGTGTGTGTGTGTGTGTGTGTGTGTGTGTGCGCGCGCGCACATGTGCATGGATGTAAACAATGTACACAATTATACAAGTGAATGGCCATGTAAGTGCACCCTGCAGGAATTGGTTCTCTATTTGACTATGCAAATTCTTTGGAAAATGCTTGGCAACAAACAACGTTACATGATAAGCAAACTTAAAAATGTGTGGGGCTTTTTCATGTTTTTGCTTGCTGTACTATTTTAGTTTATACTTTGATTCCTTCTTCTTTTCCTGGTTTCAAAACTTTCACCTACTCACTCCTTTGGCGAATTATTTAGATAGCAAATTTTAATACTTTTTCTTTGCCTTAAACCATCTTTTCTAACCCTGGTAGCTGAACTCATTCAACAATAGGAGTTAACCACCTCCCAGTTGGTGCTCCAATTGCAGTTCTGTCCTCTAAAAAGGATTCTGAAAACTTTGCTCTCAGTTCCATTTTTGAGAATTTACTTTTCTTTGCTACTGAAAGAATGGTGTTTTTACATTGACCCACTTCATAGAATTACAGCTCTCCAAGTCTTCCTGTTTTATTCCCCAGATATTGGTAGTCATTTACATTGTGTGGAATTCAAAAAAAATTTACATATATAAACATCAGTATTCAAGTTCATATTTAATATTAAAACAAAATTAATTCATTTTTACATTCAATAGCTCATCATTTTATAAATATATAAATTGCGCCAACCTTCAGCTTTCCCAATTTAATGAATTTTCAAACTTTTTCCATGACCCACACCCACCACCACACATTCAACACAATAAACATAATTGTACCTCTATGTGAGTTCCTTCTATTTGTATAAAAAAACAAAACATCCAAAGTAAAGCAAAGTTTATAAACCTCACAGTTATTTCTTGGCAACATTATTTTTAGGGTCAAAGACACATTTTTCATCATTGCTATTGAAAGTCCAACCTGTCAAGCACAATCTTATAAAGTCCTTGAAGCTACTGGAATTTTGTTTATTTCATTGTTCTTTTTATATCAATCTGCTCATATAACTTAAAATTTTATAACTTAAAATAGAACATCAAGTAGGAAAACATGTTTTTGAATAATTTTATCAATTTACCATTTTATAAATGACAATGCATCATACATTTGTACATATAAATTAATTTTAGAACTACTTTTCAACATTCATAGTAAATTGAAAGATGAAATTTAAGTGCACTTGAGATTTTGGTGGGTAATTAACATTAAATGTAAAGATTAGAAACTACATTAATGCATTGAGGTACAGAACTTGAGGATACAGTGAGCCTTTAAATGCCAGGTACTTGGGAAGCTGATCAGGGCAGTTACAAACTGAAGGTTTATTGGAGTTTCAATATGGGTTCAAGGCCAGTCTGTGCAAGCTTGTTACTGTACAAATGAAACAGTAAAACATAGCTGTAGAACAAAAAAAAACAAGAGAAAGCAGAAGATGTAATTCAGTGGCAGTGCACTTAAAATTATAGGTTCAACCCCCATGGAGGGCCTCACTATCCCTGGGGAAATGAGGGGATTTTGGAGGGGTTGGTGGGAGGACATGGGAGAGGGGAAGGAAAGAGAGAGAGAGGGACCTGGAATTGATATGTGAAGCAAACTTGTTTCTAATTTAAATTTAAATTTAAAAAAATGTATATAGGTTCAATTACACACATCATTGAATGAATGAATGACTGAATGAGCAACTAAATGACCATACCTATCTTACGTTTTTTATAGAATATATGTTTGTGTTTTTAAAGCTTTAAATAATTTTTAACCTTAGTTGTAGGTCTTTTGTATCAGAATAATTATGAATATGAACAAGTTAATATTTGCATTATGTTTTATAAATGGTTTGTTGTTGGTACTTGCCAATGTTTAGGTTTCATTTATGATTGTCCTTCTCACTCAACTATTATTTTTTCATAGTTTCTCAACTTATTTTAAGTACTTCCTAATCAGTCATTTATACCACATGCAAATAATAATCTGCATCCCTTTTTATATGTAATACATTTATGTGTTTTTATGTGTTGGCACAAATGTCTAAGCCATGTTATATTATTTAAATATCTTTGCCTTATTCATAAAACTCCAAGAACAACCTTTGCTTTAGTATTAACAATGAAATGTTCATATTGAATATTTATGAGTTTTTACCATGTTCATATAGCTTTTAATGAATTGATTGGAAGAAATACATAAATATATATTCTGATGTTCATTCACATAGTCATATTTGTATTTCTGAAATACATTTGGAATTATTGTTATAAAAAGGGTACATTATTTATAAACCTCCATTTTATTGACTAGTAATTTTTTATTTATAAGTGACTCTGTTATGTTTTCTTCCTATCTTGTTTGATTTTAACATTTGGTCATGCCAGATTTTTATAACATACTATGCTACTTACTTTACATAATATTTGTTAAAATTTTTAAATAAAATTGAAATTTAGTAAAGTCAAAATTAACCTACCTTTAAGTTCCTTAAGTCTTATTGGAAGGAGAGTTATTTGATATTATCTTGTCTTTTCTACATGCTTATTATTCATTTAATATTCTTGTTTTTTAAGGGAATGCAGCATAGTATATTCTGGAGTCATTTTTTTCATGAACATGGACTGGGAACACATATATGGTTTACTAAAAATTCAATTATCCAAGGTGGAAACAGTATTATGAATATTCATAGTTTCATAGAGCAAACAAAGTAAGTTTAAAATAAATACATTGGGGAGCTTTAGGGATCTCAATGCAAATATGTAGTCAACTAAAGATCTCTGGGCTAAAATTGATCTCCACTTTCTGTCAGGTTACAATAAGGGCACATTACTGGAAGTTATTAATCAAAATTAACCTATACTCAGAAAGGAGAATGCTTCATGTTCTTTCAAATAAATGTACGTGATATATATATATATGTATATACATATAGTGTGTGTATATATACATACATCATTTATATCTATATGTACACACAATGAATACATATTTATGTATATATATATATGAGAAGAATACAGAAAGGTAGTATAGGAATCTGAAAGAGGAAATGAGGTAGTGATGGAGAAGGGAGGATAAAAGTGGGTAATAGATTACTTGTGGCATTAAAGTGGAATGAGGACTATTGGGAAGGATTAGGATGAATGAGGAGGCCAGGGGGAAGGGAAAGGACAGTATGGCAACAATATCAGCAAAAACAGTACATTAAAATTATTTAATCAGAATCATTACTTTCATGCTATTTTTAAGATGTAATAAATTTTTTAAATGTGCATTGGTTGACTTTACAAAATTTACATCTCTTCATATTCTGAAAATGCACCATTGTTTCAGGTAGGTTAACTTAATGATGGTTTTTCTAATGTTCTATTATTTTTAGACAAATTGCTTCTTATATGAGCCATTATGGCCATTAATAAGGAATAGCAGGAAAAGACAGAAACAATGCAACTTTTTAATGGAAGAAAGTTCACAGTTTTTTTTAAATTATACACAAAGCAATTAAACAAATACCTGTTTTAAGAATATGCCAAATAAAAGTAGCATTAACAGACTGACAAGATAACTCAGTGGTGAAGGCACTCGCTTCCAAGAGTGACTGAGTTCAGTCCCAGAACATATATGACAGAAGAAGAGAACAAGTCCTCTGCCTGCAACATGAACCCTTAGTATGCACACCTGAACACGCACATAAACACCAACATACAAAACACACACTGAATAAACGGATTTTTCAAATTATGGTAGCATTATTTTCCAATAAATGGACTTTAGTGACAGATCCAAAAAGAACTTCAGAGTTGTAAAAGAGGGGTAAGAACATGTACATTAAAAGCTTTGGTTAAAATTTAAAGAAAAACAGTAAGGCCGTGTAGAGCCAAAAAGTGTAGGAGGGAGAGAAGAGTGGGAAGATAGCTCAGCTTTGGTACAGAGAGATTGTGACATCACAAAGGCTCAGTTGTTAACAACCATCAGCCCTCTGACAGATGAGAATTCAGTTCAGAAGTCTGTGAAGGCTTTCCCTGGCTCCCTTAGTCCTACTTTAGCTATCCGGTTTCCAAGACACTGAACACAGCTTTCAAAAGTATGGCGGAGGCTAAAGGTAGTACAGAGGAGACGCAAGACCTTAATGACAAAGGTAACTGGATGAGGGAAAGACTTGCCAGGAGCTGTAAGATCAACTTTGATCACGGCCGGAAGCCTCGGAAAGGATACCCGCTGCCACCTGAATCTTTGAAAATCCTCCGTGTCTGGCTTTATAAGCACCGGTTTAATGCTTACCCTACAGAAGAAGAGAAGCAAATGCTGTCCAAGAAGACCAATTTATCTTACCGTCAGATCTCCAACTGGTTTACAAATGCCCGTAGACGCCTTCTCCCAGTAATTCTTCAACAAGATTCATACAAAATGAGCTATGAAGACCAGGATGCAGAAGTCGCCAAGAAGCAGCAAGCCACTCCATCCCAGGAGGTTAAGGCACAGCCTAATGGGCAAGCTAATATGCAGAATCTGCTCCTGCCAATATACCAAAACTTTCAAGAGAAGCTACTATATCCAGAGTCTTATCCAAGACAGAAGGACATACCTGAAGCCCATTCAGAGGAAAGACACAAGATTTCCATCAGTGTGCCTTTGTCTTCTCCACAATCTATGTGGGCAGAGCAAACACCGGATTTCAGCAGCTTCTACATGCTGGTTGATGTTGCTGTACAGAAGGCCGCAGAACTGGAAGAGCAGAAGAAACAAAATCCCAATCTGTAATCTCCATCCACACCCCACTCACCAGTTTGCATAGTCAGTCCATTGTACTCCATTATACTCAATCCAATTTAACTCGCAATTCCATCTTTTAACGCCATCATTTTCCCCAGTTTTAAGAAACCTTTTCCTTTATCGCATCTCAATTTGTCTGGATATGTCAATGTTTTGTGAAGCAGGTCACCAGCTACGATTATCAACTTTAAAAACTTTCTAAATTTTTTCTCTTCCCCTGGGCTTAAGTTCTATATACCTGTTAATAAACATCATGCAAGTTTCAGACAAGGGTGTTCACGTCTAATCTCAATTTCTCCAAATTAGTTAGACACTAGATGTGAAGGCATCCTTCTTTCCCTTCTTTACAGTAGCTATCTTTAATAATTTTTCGGAATAATAGAAAGAAAAAAAACGCCATAACAAATGTGTATAACACTGCTGGTCAAAATTCGTTTGTTTGTTTTGATGGATTTTCTTTTGTAAGCTTTCAACTGCTTCCCTTTGTGCAGTTTATTTTAAGTAATGAGTTATCTCTGGAGGAATATGAGTATGAAAGCCAAAGCATTGTAAATTCATACTTTTGGGTAGTATAAGGGTAATCTCTTTAGACAAATAGTAGTGAACATTTGGTATGGTAATTGAATGGGTAGTTTACTGCTGCCAAGTCTTAGTTTGTTCACTGGGTTGGGACAATGTGTTTTGTTAGTTTTAATTAATTGCATCACAGGAAAACTGTAATAACAAATTCCCTAGAAACCAGTTGTAGATAATTTATGAGTTAAAAAGGAATCACTCTAGAACATTTTAGTAAAACTGAAATTAACCTTAGTTAATCTATATTGTGCTGCTTTTATTTGCTTATCACAGTTATCTTTCAGTTTAAAATACTTGACTTGATGGGGTTTGCTGGGAAGGTTAACGCTTCAGACAGCTCTTACAAGAATATATTCCTCAGGTTATGATAAGTTCAGACAGGTTTTTCAATAGGAACTGTATGCTAATTCAGAAAGCTGTTATTTATATTTTCTAATTTTTATGACGCTACAATATGGTCAATATGACCTCCATTTCAACTCATGAATAGATGTAACTACTAGGCCTGATAGTTTTGTCTGTTAGGTGGTTGATTGTTGTTTTAATGCCTATCTCATTATTGAGAATTTCCATATACTATGTTTCATCTTTTTATAGTCTCTTTAGAAACAGTGTTAGTTTGAAAAATTTCAATTTCCATATTGGTTAGAAAGGAAGAAGTCAGCAGTCTCAAACTGCTATTCCTGAAATAGAGTAAATCGATTCTTATTTACTTTTAAGGTCTTTTATTATTGTTGTTTGGCAGTTCTATACATGTAATAATGGAATTTACTCTTTTCACCCATTTGCCTGCCATCTCCCTCCATTTCCTGCTCTAACACTTCTTCCCATCAATTTCACCTCTACTTACATGCCTAAATTTTAAAATGTGATCCAATGAGTTGAATTACCATTTATTGTTGAAGTGCATGGGGAGGATTGAAGAAAGGGCAATTTTTCACTAACAAGAACACTGCCCACAATGACACAATTCTCTACTCCCAACAACTATTAACTGCCAATAGTCCCTTAGGTATAGATATGGTCTTATGGGCCCCTACCCTATTCATGATAAGATGTTGACTTGTTAATCTTGTGGAGAAAACCACAACTTCAGTAAGTTTATGAGTACAAAAGCTATATCAACTCCAGAAGTGATCCTTTTAATTTAAACCACATCATTTTTTCTTACATTTTTTCTGTTCTTCCTTTGTGTTTACTGAGCATTGGCTTTCCTGGTTTTTGTTTCAACTTGAGCATTATTTTTGTCTAAAATAGGGGGACTTTAGTCGCATAAACTTAGATGTGGAGCCTCTATTTAATTCAGTTGCTCTATATTTATATATTTATATTTAAGCCTGTATCAATATTGTTTTCATTAGTATATCCCTAGAATTAACTTGAAATCAGATATCATGATATTTCCAGTAGAGTTTTGTTGTTTATGATTACTATGGGAATCCAGTATCTTTTGTGCTTTTGTATTTATTTAATTTCTTCTTCTGATTTTAATTTCTTAAGAATTAATTTGGTGTTTTGATTGGAGTTGCAATGAACATGTCAATTACTTTTGGTAGGATGATCATTATTGTAATCCTTTTAATGCATGAATGTAGGTTTCTCCATGGTCAAAATTCTTCTGAAACTTCTTCAACATTTTATAGTTTTCATTGTATTTCCTTACTTAAATCAATCTCTCTCTCTCTCTCTCTCTCTCTCTCTCTCAATGGTTATGTTTTCATGATTCCTTTGTTAGTGTGTTTATCATTGGCATGTAGGATTTCTGTTTATTTCAGGATATTAGGTTTTAAAGCTTATATTTTGCAGAAAGTATATATCAACTCTAGGCGTTTCCTGCTGTAGACTTTGGTTGGGTGTGACATATATAGTATCATATGACATGAAGTCAGGAATACATTGACATCGCGAGTGTGTGTGTGTGTGTGTCTGTGTGTGTGTGTGTGTGTGTGTGTCTATATAATCTCTACCAAAAATGTCAAGCACTGAATTAAAACTAAATGGAGGAAATAGAAAATTTGTCCTGTTTGTGATTTTAATAGGAATATTTCAAGTTAGTCTCTATTGTACATGTTTGAGCCTATGGATTTTGGTATCAAGATAATACTAGTTTTGTCAAAAGAATTTAGGTGCATTCCTTGTATTCTTATTCATGAAGCAATTTGGTAAGTTTTGCTTTTGGTCTTTTTGTGAAGGTCTGGTAGAATTCTGCCTTAAAACCAGCTGGATCTGGGATTTGTAAAATGGAAAATTTTTAGTGAATCCTTTACTCTTTTTGCTTGTTTTATGTCTATTTCAACTAGGTTTAATTTTGGTAGGTCATATGTATCTAGAAATTATTCCTTTTGGGTCTAATTGTGCCAGAAGTATATTATAGTAAACTGCACTAGAGTATTAAGTGTAATCTATGTTTCTATATTCATTAGTATTGGTTGTGAGAAATTTGATGTGCTTGTGTTTGGTGTGTGTGTGTGTATGCATGCGTGTGTGTGTGTGTGTGTGTACGCGCGCGTGCACGAGTGCGTGCACGCATGTGTATCTGTAATTTCTTTTTGGTGGATTATATTTTGATGTGTATGACATGATCTGAGCAAAATTGGTTTGAAATCTGTTTACTCGATTATTAGAATTGTGACACTTCTTTATCACATTGCTTAGGAGTATTTTTTTCATCCTTTCAACCTAAGATAGTATCTCTTTTTAATAGGAAAATATTAGAGGCAAGGAAACTTGAGGTCCTGATTTCTAATTTATTCTGCAATCCCATGTCTTTGAACAGTTAAATTAAGATAATTGGTATTCAGAGTTAATGAATTTAATTATTGCTTACCTTTTAATGACTCTGTAATTTTGGATGCTTCAATAATCATCTTTTCTTTAACAACTCTCTTTTCCTCATTGATTTTTTTTCTCTCTGTACCTTTTTGGGTATGCTTATATGTCTTTTCATACTGAAATATTCATTCTAATAACCTCTCTGGGGATGGTTTGGTTGTCATAAATTTCTTTAAGCTGATATTGTCATGGACTTTTTTCTTTCTTCTATTATAACATTTATTTTTGCCAGATACATCTGGCTTGGGTTGGTAGTTTTGTTTTCTTCAGAATTTGATGTCTTTCTAAGCCCTTATAGGTTTGAAGGTTTCCACTGAAAAGTCAGTAGTTAATATCTACTTTTATATTTTACTCCCCTCTTCATTCTTGTACTTTTCAATGCATATTCATCATTCTGTGTATTTAATCTTTCAGCTATGACATGAGAGAGTTTATTTTCTTGTCATATTTTATGTTCTTTGAGATTCTTACAGTCTGAAGGGCTGTTTTTAACTCCTAGATTTGAAAAGATTTGTCTGTGATTTAATAAAATGTTTCCTACTTCTTTGGAATAAAATTCCTTTCCTTCTATGTACATGATGTGTAAATAATTTACACAAATTGCTCAAGAACCTGTTTCTCAGAAACAGGAAGCTCGCTCTCTGGTTGAGGAGATTCCTAGGCTAAACTTATGAACAGTTTGTGGGAGCATTTTGTGTGAAAACTTTCAGGGCTTAGACTTTTCTGTGGCTCAACTGAAAATGTGTTTTAACACTCATTTATTGTTACAGTCTGATAAAGATATTTAAACTTGCCAGGTGTTGGTGGTGCACACTTTTTTTCCAGCACATGGGCAGAGGCAGGCAGATATCTGTGAGTTCGAAGCCAGCCTGGTCTATAGAGCTAGTTCCAGGAGAGGCTCCAAAACAATACAGAGAACCCTGTCTTCAAAAAAAAAAAATCTTCAAACGTGCCTATAGTATAGTCTAGCTGGATTACTGTAGAATGATAAATATATGGTATTTCTTAATAATAAGTTAGAATGTTGCACCATTTTTCTATGTTCATTAACTATTTTGAAATGCCATGGTTTTGGGTAGAGTTATTTAAGTAATAACCATACTGGGCAAAGGTATAAGAATTATCATTTTACTGACTCACAGCCTCAGAGAAAAGAAAATCTGTGATTGAATAAAGTGTTAGGTGAGAATTTTTTCTAAATTTCTACCACAGCATTTTCCCCATGATGTTAAAAATTATCATCAGTTGACATTGTTTTAAACTGCTTTTTGCAAAACCTTTACAATCATAACTTTTTCATACAGTATAATTTGATCATACTTTCCTTTCACCTATTTCTCTCAGATCCCCCCACCTATCTACTTGACCATATTTATGTTCTTTCAAAAAAGTAAAAAAAAATTGATGTGGTAAAACTAAAATCAAAATGAACAAACAAAAATAAAATGAAATTTAGGTGAATAAAATAAAGCCAAACCAAATTAATCAAAATAAAGAGTTCATAAAATGATCTGTTTATTTGTTTATTTATTTATTTTGAGCAACTACTTCTAGACAGGTAAGGTGCTCTGTCCTGTGGTTCATATTTCTAGTGCCACTATATTAGAGACAACTGGTCTTCCTTTGTTAGGGTTGTATCAGTTAAAAAAGCTTCACTGTTAGAGGTGAGACCCCTTGCTTTCTTCACCCTATTAGTGCTGGAATCCCCTCATACTATAGCTTCTGTAGGTCTTGTGAGTGCTGCCACAGTCTCTGTGAATTCATATTGGTATTTGCCCCATTGTGTCTGGAAGATACTCTTTCTTTGGAGCTGTGCATCACTGTTGGCCCTCACAATTTTCTGCCTCTTATTCT